TTCTATATAACCTTAAATAAAAATTAAGCAACTAACAAGTTTTCATTAAATGTAAACATGACTCAAAAGTTTTATTGGAAATTACGAAATCAATAAATTTATAACAAGTGAACTTTTTAATTTTAACTATCTGGAAATTCCGTATCACTGAGGAAGATTATTACACTTCTAAGAAAGAAAGTTATTTAAACTTAAAAGTTAAAGCCATAAAAATGTGTTTATGTAACCATTATTCAGTTTGTAATTAAAAATAATTTCTAGTAATATTTAATTAATATGTATTATTGTGCATTGATACGTTATTTTTTTATTGTAATCAATATAAATTTAGAATAATAATAATTAACAAATTTGTTTGTGATGATGATGATGAAAACACAACGGTGCAAATCTGAGAAACACAAGGTCCCATGGTGTAATGGTTAGCACTCTGGACTTTGAATCCAGCGATCCGAGTTCAAATCTCGGTGGGACCTCGTTTTTTTTTTTTCATTAGTGTTTCTATTTTTTATTGCAAACCAAGTCATGGCTAGTGTTAATTAATTTATCAGAAATTAATCTTCAAAGATTGCGAGTTAAGACGGGAAATCCAAATCAATTGTTACGTAAAATATTCCGATATCACTTTCGATATTATTTCACGATTAATTTATGCAATTACTTGTGCAATAAATAATAGAAATAAAGAAAATATATCAATTGCGATTTTATACGTCAATGAAAGTGATAAAGACACTCCCTAATAAATAATGATTAATTTATTTTTGCCTATTTGATTGGTAAACAAATTTGTTTACTTATGATAAGCAGGTGTCCTTAAATTACCATCCAAAGTAGCATCCCATCATCCACAGTTGGATTATCACATGTTGCCACACGCATTAATTTAAGAGAGAAACTCCTGTTTACAAGCACTTTAATTTAAATTTTCATTTTACGGTCAATTAAATAAATCGTAATAAAAAACATTATCCGACCTTGACCGAAAGAGAAAGTTGGTCAAATTAATCATAAAAAAATGTCGTCCACGTCTGACGATCAGTGAAAATCTCTCTCAATTTATGTAATTTGTTCCTCGACGTAATGAGTGCTTCTTTTCCAGAAATGGTTACCTTACCATTAATTACCTTAATGGCTGTGATAAACGCGTGTACCTGCGCTAATATTTTAATGATAACAATGGGTGGCACAAAGTCTCACAAAATTCCCTTTTGGGAATTGGCCCGAGGACTCATCCCCAGAGGCCACAATGTTACATTCATCAGCGCGTTTCCATCTGACTTCCTGTTGCCCGGCCTCGAGGAAATCACCCCAACGAGTTTCGTCTTCTACGTGAAGAATTTCACCAACTGGGATTTAGTCGGGGCTAAGATCAGGGGCGAGGAACCGGTTCACCCCTTCGACATGGTCCGCTACGCTTACGAGGTATCCATTCTCACAAATTGAATTTCCTTAGTAAAATCCTCAATTTTCAGGCTTGTGATGTACTTCTTTCAGATCCGGAAACAAAAGACCTGCTGTATTCCCAGCAGAATTTCGACCTTTTGGTCCTCGATGGGGCCTACCCGGAGTGCGCTTTGGGGTTCGTGAATCACTACAACGCGCCTTTTATCTACATTAACACAGTTGGGTTCTACACCGGATCGCTGTCTCTGGCCGGTAATCCTACTCCTTATTCGGTGACACCGTTTCTTGCAAGGCCATTTACCGACTCGATGAATTTACTCCAAAGGACTATAAACACAGTTTGGCACTTGTTGGCCAACTCATTGCACTCTTTCATGGTCAGAAATATGATACAACCCGTCGTCAGAAAACATTTCGGGCCTGATGTGCCTTTGGTCTACGATATTTCCAGAAATGTTAGCTTTATTTTGCAAAATGCACACGCTACGGTCACTTATCCCAGACCTTATTTGCCTAACGTGGCGGAAATTGCGTGCATACATTGCAAAAGGGCTAAAGCTCTGCCTGATGTAAGTAAATCGTGTTGCAATTTCATTTTCATAGTGATGAAACGGCGAGCAAAAAACGATATATTTCATTTACAGTCATGCAATATTTAAATCGGTTTTTAATTATAACGCGTTGTGAAAGAAATATTTGAAAATTTAAATCAGCGTGAAATACATGATAAAAGAGCAATGACGCAGGTTATTTCCCAGGTTGCGTATTTCGATATAAATTCTTTTCAAATTAATTGCGGTTAGTATTTTTTAGAAAACAAGTTTTTATTTTTAACTCGCTTTTGTTTATAAAATGTGTATACAATGGCTCCCAGAACTCTGCGGTCTATATAGAGAGAAGAGCAAAGCAGACAGAAAAATAGAATTGTTTTGTATACTTTGTAAATGATTGATTAATTAATATAAAACTGGGTCACAATTCTTATCATTTTTAAAAGATGGTAAAAAACTAACTCATTGTGTCACTGTAACTTTTGCCCCAGAAAAAAATTTCAAGTAAAGTAAGATACCAGGAACATGAAAAAAATGTTTAAAAAATTCTATCTGTCAAAAAATTTTGACATTTATTTTTTGGCATTTGACATTTTTTTTATATCTATTTAATGATACTGATGATCTTGTATATGTTTTTTTACAATTATTTAGTAAAGGGACAAAAATTTTTGCCAATAAAAGCCACAAATAACATTGAACAGAGTTACAATTTAGGATACAGCTTCCTTGTTTCCTCTTTTAATAGCCTATAGCAAAAAAAAACTTGGAAAATGATTTTTCCAACAGAAATAAATAGAGTCAAAGTGCAAACTTAAAACCCACATAACTTCGAAATTTTTATAGATAAAATTTTTTTAACATTTTTTCCATGTTCCTGGTATATTACCTTATATGGCATTTTTCTCTGGGGCGCGAGTTCTGGCGCATCCTGTATTTTGCCAAACTTCCTTAAATTTCTGAAATTTATAATCTACAGGTGCGCCAGATCTCGCGTCCCAGAAAAAAATATAAGGTAAGATACCAGAAACATGGAAAAAATGTTAAAAAATTCTAGCTATAAAAATTTTGAAGTTATGAGAGTTTAAATTTTGTACTTTGACTCTATTTCTTTCTGTTGGAAAAATAATTTTCCAAGTTTTTTTTGCCACAGGCTATTAGAACAGGAAACAAGAAAGCTGTATTCTAAATTGTAATTTTTGTACTTTTTACTAAATAATTATAAAAAAATGTCAAATGTCAAAAAATAAACATCATTTTTTTTCCATGTTCTTGGTATACTTTTTTGTTATATTACTGTGCATCAAGTAGGTTCTAAAATTAATACACTAAAGGCCGATTCACACAAATAGCGTCATTAATGTCCGTCAGAATAAATTTAATCAGATCAATAATGACAAAATTATTTATGTTTGCCACCCGATGTTAATTACGTTGTTAGCTTTAATTATTTTTTGCTACCTCAAAAACTGGGGTACATATTTTTAGAGAAGATTGAGATTGGGATTGTTTGAATTTTTGTATGGTCGCCAACTTAAAATGATCCTTTTCAACGACTACACATGCATGAAAACAACTATATCTTATCTTACTTGAAATTTTTCTCTGGGGCGCAAGTTCATATTTATTTATTTTAGTTCATATTTTTTTAACTTACCAACTATGCGTACAATACCAATATTTTACAACACAAAAAAGTTTTGCAATTACATTTTTTATTCAAAATTTGTGCTAACACTATAATTAATATGGTTTTTTTATCAATAAGTGCTTAGTGAATTACTAAAAAAAACGTAGCAAAATTATTTTAACAAATTTTTGATTAGTTTGACCTGTAGAAGATATTTTATTTTGTGTTGAACTCAATTTTGTAGTTCTTACACCAAACGCTTTTTTATAAACACGACGCATTACAACCACAATAAGAACTAATACAAGAACGAGCTCAATCGTTTGAAGCCTTTTAAGTTTAGTGGGTTTTTTTCAATAACAAATCGCTAAGAAATGAGAAAAATTGTGTTATTTGAATTCACATGACGATTTAGTAGTTGTTGACAGAATCTTTTGCATTTCAAAATATTTCAAGAGATAAACTAAATTTTACTTGGAAATCTGATGAATTTAGTTATTCTGATTTAAAGTGACGATTTTCTGGTTTGACAAAACCTTTGAATCTAGTGAATTTCCATTTCCCGAACGAGTTAAATTGCTGACTTCTTTTAATTTATTGACTTATTTCTTTAAAAATAATTAGAAAAGGTTGAAAGAGAGTGCTATTTTGATATAATATGACGATTTTTCGGTGAAATTTTCTGTATTTAACGAGTCTGCTCAATTACAAATTAAATCGCTCGAAAATAGCTGAAATATTCTCTTATAGGGATTACAGCTCAACAAAAATATGTACCTATGTTTTTTAATTTTTTAATACAACATTTTTTTTCTATTTCTGCACGTGTGAAATTCCTTATACCGTGCGATCAAAAAAATAATAAATTAGAGTAGGCGGTGATTAAAGTCCTTCAGATGGCAATCCTGATTTTTGACATCAAATGTCAGCGGAAACTTTGACTAGTTTGCGTTTTATTCCTTTTGAGTGAAATAATGTTCACTTTAGAGCAGACATTTTTTATTGCTGTACAAGAGGGAAACGGTGGATGGTCATTTGCACTTTGAGTTTGTGTGGAAAATTTCTAGCTCAGATTTCCAGCCAATGTGTTGCCAACTGTAGAATTCAATCGACGCCTACTCTAATTTATTTTTTATTTGATCGCACGGTACTTGACTGTCAGGTTTTCTTTTTGGCGTCTTAAGGACGTATCAAGTTTTATTTTTTAATCAATTTCATCTTCTCTGATGACGCAATTTCTTTAATAAAAAAATAAAACTAAACAAAGATTGTTTGAAATATTAAAAAGAAACATAAATATAAATTATTTAAGTCAAAATAAAACACCTCCACACCTATGTATTAGCGTGCTTAAATGAAAATTAATTACATAACTTCATTTGAAGGTAATGTGCTCGTCATGCTTGGAGAAATTGGAGAAATTATAACAATTAATTTTTATGAATAGTCATAGCCTCCTCAATAGCCTCATCTGAATTTTTTATTTTCTCTTTCAGTATTACATCATATCGATTTATTTAAACAATCGTTTTTAAATATCTCTCCATATAAAAAAACACATTTATATAATTATAAAACGTTTCTTTCATTCAAATTATGGAATGTATAATATAATAAGTAACAGAAAATACATATTGAATTACACAGAAATATTTTAACTATTTAGTACATGTGACAAAGAAGGATATTTACTATTAAAATTAAATGTCAACTTCAAAAAATTAAATCTATTTTTCCTCCCCCGTTTCGACTCCCACAATTTTTTTGAAGAGTTTATTTACCTTATTTGGTATGTGTTTAAGTAATTAGAAGTTGTACATAAGATAAGATAATTTAGATTTAAATGTTTAGGATTTGGAGGAGTTCATTCAAGGCAGCGGCAGCGCCGGATTCATCTACTTCAGCATGGGGTCTTCTGTAAAAGCTGCCAACATGCCGGAATACCTCCGGAGGATGCTGATGCGCGTCTTCCGGCAACTCCCACAACGCGTCCTCTGGAAATACGAAGCCGACGAGGAAATGCCCGACCTTCCCGCCAACGTCAAACTCGGCCGATGGCTACCACAACAAGACATTTTAGGTAACAGTTGCCACTCTGTTTACTAAACAACATCAACACTTTCTCTATAAACTTACAAAAAACTTTTGTTTATCTACTTTCTACTTATTTTTCTACGATAAGAAGCAGCGAAAGCAATAAATCATGATTTTTAGGTCATCCAAAAATTCGAGCATTCGTTACCCACGGAGGTCTACTAAGTATGTTCGAAACGGTGTACCATGGAGTACCAGTCGTTTCACTGCCCGTTTTTTGTGACCACGATTCTAACGCTGCTAAAGCTGAAACCGATGGTTACGCTTTGAAACTCGATTTGAGCAAAATCACCGCAGAATCACTAGTTTGGGCCATAAAGAAAGTCATATACGATCCGAAATATCGGGAAGATGTGAAAAAGAGACAGCTTTTGTTGAGAGACCAGAAAGAAACACCGCTGGAAAGAGCGGTTTATTGGACAGAGTATGTTTTAAGGCACAAAGGGGCCACTCATCTTCAATCTCCCGCCAGAAACATGGGAGTTGTAGAGTATTATTTAATTGATATAGCTTTTGCAGCGTTTTGTTGTACATTTATTATTTGGTATCTAATGAAATTGATTTTGAAAATTATTGTTATGATCTTGACAGGCAGTTTAAGCTTTAATTTATTTAGGAAAAAAATTAAAATAGAATAGCTATTAAACGAGTGTAAATATGTTTGTATAATAATCACTGAGTTTTATTACTTGCAAGGATATTAAAAAAGTACCAACTTGTCCATTATTTAAAAACAAAATACAGTTTTAAAAAAATCGTTTTATTACATTGATTAAACTCAAAATTGTGTCTAAAAAAGGTGAATTTTTACTGTTTTTAATTTTAAGTCAACCTGTGAAGACATAAAAACGATGTAACGAGAAAAATAAATATTTATTATGTATAATAGCAGTAAATGATTTTGTGCTTTTTCGTACTAGTAATTCTACTGAGTTAATTTAAATCACATTAAAATCTGACTGTTTTTTCGTCATTGTTGAAATTATTCTCAATTTGCTTATTGTCTTGCGGACTATTTCTTTCCGACTTAAGTAAGGATTCAGTACTTGCAGTTTGAGTCACGGGAGTCACTTGCTGTTCCTTCTGTTTCCTATCCTTGTAACACAAAAAACTTGCAAAAGCCACAAATCCGAGACAAACAGCCAGCAAGCAATACTTAAAAACATTAAACACTTTCAAGGCGACGAAAACAGCTTTTATCATTTTAAACAGCGGTCCTTCCAGAACGATCGCTTCCTCGATCCAGAAAATAGGATGGAGTGCTTGTGGCAACGTTTTCATTAAACCAATTTTCTTGACAGGTTGGATCGGCAAATTGAATTGCATTCTCTTTTGTGCTTCTAGTGGAGTTCCCAACAACTGAAATCGACACCAAAGTGGAAGGAATTTGCCAAATTTATTACTCACAGGTTGGATTATCACTCGAACGATGTGTTCGTCTGTGATTGGCTTCAAACCTTTGACAGTTTTTTTCACTTGTTTGTCGACTCGTAGGAAGTGAGGCAGTGTTGCATAGATGGGAACACCCATACACCGGCTCAAGTCCATTACTCCCTTAGGGAGACAAGTTTTAGGGCAGTAACACTTTTCCTCGGGATTGCCTTTCATGTCACCCAAATCTGCGTAATATTTCTCCGCTGGAACGCCTTTAAAAGTCGTGTCTTCAAAGAAGAGGAGGTGCATGTTGCGGCACAAGTCGGGAGAATAAGTCCAAAAACCAACTTCTTTGTCGATGAATGGGGGGAAAATCCAGCTGTCGGTTCCCAGAAATCTGTTACATTTTTTCGTTGACCACACTTTTGATTCCTTTTCGTGGTTCACTTCAACTAGGCGGCCCAATTCGTGCGATTTTTTTATCCCTCGAAAGACTTTATACCGATTTGGTAAAGTGCCATTTCTCTACAATGCAAATTTGCCAAATTTAAACTTAAATAAAGAAAGGAAATACCGGTCCTAAAACTGAAAATTTGTAAACATTTTTTTCAATTTCAATCAATCCTGGAATCTGTGATTTCATCTGAGCACAAACTGCGGTTGCTGAAAAGTCTTGAGCTTTGCAGTTAATCGTCATTCCTTCAAACAAAAAGTCTCGAACTTTTGTTGTGATGTAAATATTTTGAGGGTCTTTAAATATTGATTTAAGGGCTCGATCTACGATGGGTAACAATGGGGGCGAATCTCTTAAAACGGTATTAACAATGCCCTGAATACAATTTTATGTCGAAAAGTTAACAATCGAGTTGTTTACTTACCACAATTAATGGGTGAATAACTGTTACATAATCGTCGGCTGTTAAGCTTCCTGATTTGTCTTGATTGAAAAAATAAGTTTCGTAGGGAGTGTAGGTGAGACTGTCTTCGCCTTCGTTTTCTAAAATGTCAATTTTTTCTTTATAGGCACTAAAATTTTTATTTATTTTGTGAATCAATGATGAATGAATTATTACTCGTAGCAGTAAGGTCCAATTTCTTTAACAACCGGTTGTTCTCCATTTTGAACTTCTGAAGGATTTGTAATGTTGAAAAAATAAACGCGAAAATCTAAGGGCATAGGGATTTTCAGGTAGACTTTTTTCATTATATTTCTTCTTCTAAGGGCAGTTTGCTGAAATTTAATTGTAATCGATTTTGAAGGTGGATAATTAAAAATAGATGAAAGGAAATTACATTGCATTTTTTTGACAAATTGATTTGTTTACGTGATCTGTGAGTTACTGGAACTTTAAATTATAAGTTTTAATGCTAATTAACGGAAGTGATTATAAAATTTATTTATCAAAATACTTACATCTCTAACCGCAAACTTTACGAAACTTGAAAATGTAACAAAACAAGAAACAACAACAAAAATAGTCGAAACTATCGAAACGGCTAATAGTTTTTTTGACTTTTGCATTGTTACAAGTTTGAAAACTATTCATTTTCTGAACCAATGGAGCTCCAATTGATAACGATACTCGAGTAAATAACGATGCTTATTTAAATTAATTATTTAAAAATTGTTTCTGGTAATAAAAGAGTTTATGACAATGACAATGAGGTGGGTGAAGGTTAAATCAATCAATACGTCTGTATCAATTTTTTTTATTTAATTAAATAAATTATTTTGAACTAAGTACAATATTTTCCTTGAACGAGTATAGTTTCTTATTTTTGTACAAATGGTAGCCTCCGTACGCCATTCCAATTACACTTCCGATTAACGAGATATATTTCATAACTTCTAAAGCTGTAAGGAAGTAAAAGAAAGTTTTAATCATTCGGAGAAACCATCCGTTCAGAACCACTCCCTAAAAATAAAATATAATAAAATTTAATTATTTCTTTTTGACTCACCATTTCAACCCATAAAACCGGATGAATTACTTCAGACACGTTTTGCATAATATTTATTTTACTCACTGGTTGGAGAGGAAAATTAAATTGGAGACGAATCTGAGCTTCCATTGGAAGCGACAGTGTCTACATTTATAAATTATTTAACTATTATTTTTACTTTAAAAAATTATTACCCCTTCGAGTAGAATTCTTGTTATGTGACTCTCAGTATCAGGATTCAAGCCCTTGACCCTTCGGATAAGACTTTCATCGCTTCTTAAAAAGTGTGGTAAACTAATATAAATAGGAGCTGTTAGACATTTGGTGACGTCAATTAATCCTTCGGGAAGACAAGGTTCTTGAAGCGAACAATTGGTACAAATATTTTGAAAATCAGAATAATATTTATTTACTGAATAGCCATTACTAGTAGCTTCTCCCACGAAATCGGCATGAATATTTCTTAAAAAAATATATTATGCTGTGTATTATTATTTATAAATAAGTTTTACTGGCACAGTGTTGTTGCGTGCATCCAAATTGTTGTCAATTTACTCGAAAATGGGGGAAAAATCCATCCATCAGTGCCTTTGTATTCATTACATTCCCCATTGGACCAGAAATTACTTCTTGTTACATTATCAACAGCTACCAATTTACCTAAATTCTGTGATTCTTTTATCCCTCTCAAAACCGTTATTCTTGTTGGTATTGTCCCATTTTGCTACAATTTAATTAATATAAATGTTGTCAAATCGAGATGAAATTTACTTGTCCAAGAAGAGCATATCTCAAATATTCTTTACTTTCAATCTGAATACCAGGAATTTTTGTTCGTATTTGTGTACAAACTGCCATCGCTGTAAAATCCCGAGACGTGCAATTTATTAACATACCGTCAAATAAAATATCTCTGACTTTTGCAGTGAGAAAAATTGATTTTTCGGGGAATAAAAATCCTAAAGCGTCGTTTAAAAATTGTAAATATTGAGGAGTTTTCACTGATACGTAATTGACAAGACTCTAAAAAAAACGGTTTGTTTGGAGATTGAGGCTTTAGCAGAGCTTCTTACCACGACAAGGGGGTGAATAATTGTAACGTAATCGTCTTGACTCAAGTTTCCTGATCTCTCTTGATTAAATAAGTAAATGTCGTAAGGGGTGTAGGTTAAGCTGTCTTCGACCTCGTTGTCCTCCACGTCTATTCTCTCCTTGTAAAGGCTACAATTTATTCAAAAATAAGAAAATTACGGAAAAATGTAGAAAATATTTAAAAATAAAAAAATTTAATTACGTTAATGTCATAAAAGTTTTACAGTAGTGAATACAGGAAATTTTATTGATATAATCATGGTTTTAACATACGACGTCTTTGTTGTCCTTGATTAAAATTTATTAGTACTTTATTCTAAGACAAGTGTATAAAATTTTCGCTCATAGTAATTTTATTCACTATTCATCAGGTTATACCATATTTTTTACTTTATTGCGAAATGCGCAAAATACAGACTTACATAATTGTTAAATATTTACCGTACTTACTCATAACAGTAAGGTCCAATTTCATTTAAATCAGGAACACCACCATTTTGTACTTCTTCAGGGTTTGATACGTTAAAAAAATTGACACGAAAATCCAAAGGGATTGGGTACTTTAGATAAAACTGTCTTACATAATTTCTCCGATGTAGGGATATTTGCTGAATTTTGTTTTATTAAAATAAAATAAGTAATAAATTCTGAAATAACTTACATCTCTTACAGCATATTCAAAAATTGGTTCATAAGCAGCGAAACCAAAAATGATGGTCGCAACAAAGCAACATGCTGATATAATAGTAATCTTCTTGTAAGAAAACATATTGCACTAACAATAATTCTTAACAGAATTGATAGAAATAAAGAGTCATCTTTAGAATTTGTAGTGGGGGAAAGATGTAGAAGGAGACTTATATAAATAAAAGGTTAATTTCATATTTTCTGTATTTTCTCGTAACAACTGTTATTATATCAACCTTCATTCTAATTATAATTAAATTTTGTGTGGTTTTAAGAAAGAAACAGTTTGCAAAAACTTGTTTATTATTTCTAAAAAAATACAACAGTTGTGCCAAATTTAACAAACATTAAAATTTGTTTGTGTCTTCTTTATTTCTTTTATTCATTGATGGCAGCTCTATGCCACCAATTTTTTCTGTATTTGATTTTTTCGATTCTGTGGTACGATTTTGTACTGGACTAACTTTCTTGTTCTTAGAATCTTGATACAACTTGTAGCCTCCATATAACAAACCTTGAATCGCAAATCCCAACATTAGATACCGAACAAAAGTCATTAATTTAAGCAATGTGAACACTGAAGTAACTTTTTTCAGTAGAAATCCTTCAAGTTCGACACCCTAACAAACACAATTAATAATCTTCAATCAAGTTAAAATAACTCACTTCTTCGATCCATAAAATCGGATGGAGAGCTTCCGGTACTGTTTTCATCATGGCAACCTTAGGAATTGGCATTAATTGTAAATTAAATTGAATTCTTCGCTGACCCAACATTGGTGTTCCTGTTAAAGGCTCAAAGTAGATTTTTATAATGTGTTTTTCAAGTTCGGGATTAAGACCCTCAACTTGTTGTAATAGTTTTTCATCAGCTTTGAGGAAATGGGGTAAAGTGCAATATAAAGGTACTTTCATGCATTTTGTTAAGTCCATTACGCCTTTAGGTAAGCAAGTTTGAGGTGTTGGGCAAAAACATTTTTCGTCAGGGTTTGATGACATGTCACCAAGGTCGGCAAAGTATTTGCGTACGACGACACCGTGAAACTTCAAGTCATCCACATACCGAGCTTTGAAACTCCTAAATTGATAAACAACAACTTTTTTCTTCAATTTTCAAAATGTTTCAACATTATTACCTGCACAAATCCGTTGCCACGGTCCAAATCCCTTCTTCTTTTTCTAGAAATGAAGGGAAAATCCAACCATCGGTTCCCCGAAATGCGTTACATTCTTGTTCCGGCCATACATCGAGATCTGTTTTATTATCAATTGTAACCACACGGCCAATATCGGCAGCACTTTTAACCCCTCTATGTACTGTAATACGTGTTGGTATGGTTCCATTCCTCTGAAATTTTTTTTTATCAATTGACATTTTCCAAAAAAAAAGTTACCGATCCTAATAAAGAAAAACGATAAATATTTTTCTCCACCTCCACCATCGCCGGCTGACTTTTGAATTGTGAACACACAGCATTTGCCGAAAAGTCTTTAACAGTACAGTTTATCAAAATTCCATCAAAAAGTATTTCTCTCACTTTTGCAGTAAGATAAATCGAATAGTTTTCTTTAAAAATGACAGGAAGGGCCTTATTTACCGCTGACAGGTATTGAGGTTTTTGAGTTGCGACTGCATTCACAATGCCCTTGAAGAAACTTTAAAAAACTGCTTTTTTATAAAAATTGTCACTTACCACAGTGAGAGGGTGAAGAATCGTAACATAATCATCTTGTGATAAATCACCAGTTCTCATTTGATTAAAAAAATAAGTATCGTAGGGGTTGTAGGTGAGGGTGTCATTGTCTTTGTTGTCTTCAACATTGATTTTTTCTTTGTATGCACTATTGACAAAAATACAATTTAAGACTCGTTAATTTCTAGTTTTCATTGTTTACGCAATACTGTGATTATGAATGGTGACAGAGATCATTCATAAATCTAATTGAGCATAATTATAGACAAAAAATTAAATTATATCCTTATTTGGGAAATAATTGAAATTTAAATTACACGGGGCAAAGGCTGTTACTTACTCGTAACAGTAAGGACCAATTTCTTTCAAAATCGGTTTTTCGCCTTGTTTTACTTCCTCTGGATTAGAAATGTTAAAAAAATAGACTCGGAAATCTAAAGGAATGGGTAGTTTGATGTAGTAATCACGCATTTCGTTTCCCGGTTTTAGTTGTCTTTGCTATAATGTTATAATATTGTTATTAAAGTAATTACGAAATTTCTTACATACCCATTTGACCATAGATCTTAGACATGGCATGTAAAATATGAATCCTAGTATCAGGGTATTAACAAGAGTTATTGAAGAGACAATCAAAATTACATGAAACGATTTTAATTTTGTGTTAAAACAAGTTGTCATTGTTTTAAAATAAAATGACACACTACTTCGTTGCTACCTTACTAAACTCTGATATATTTTTATAAAATAGTGGGGACTATTCTACAGACAAATAAAGGCAAATGATGATCTAATTAATTATACAGAGAAATGGACATTAGGAACATCGTCAAGTACTACCAGCAAACTTTATTTATTATTTAGAAATAATCATCTTAATCAGGTGAAGGTTGAAGAAATGGAAATTAAGGATTGATTTTTGTTTTATGAAATGAGTGACAGTAAGAATTCTTGTAGGTATTTAGGGCGCATTTTACTTTTAAACAACTTGGTAGAAGTAATTTAGGAAAATCGTTTATTTTCTAATATGCTTACAAAAAGTATGGAACTAAGTGTTTTTTTTAATTATTTGCTGCCAGAAAATAATATTTAATTAAATTAAAAAAATTAAAGTGGTATAAAAATATGATCGTGTTTTGAAAACAAAATTTTGTTTTGTTTTTCAGTTTTGCGATTTTTTTAAGTGAGATTTTACAGGCCGTGTTATAAAAAAACGCCTCAAGCCATAGTTTCATTACTTTTAAAAACGTTATAATACTTCAACTCAAAGTTGAACAGTTTTTCGTTATCAATCGTTTGCTTGTCTTAGATAGAATGAATAAAAATGTTTTATTTTTCCACAGCCTACTTTATTTAATTTAATTTTCAAATTGCTTAAAATTAAAAGTTAGTGATAAATAATAGTAAATGAGCTTGTTGAAAAACAATTTAATACATTTAAAAAACTGAAATTAATGTCATTTCCGGTGAAACAGAAAGCAACATTGATTGAATATCTATGCCAATCAATAGATGACAAGAAACTGTTCAACTTTGTTCCAAGAAGAATAGTCAAATCTTTAAAAATAATGTTGTTATGGCTTGTGGCGTTTTTTATAATACAGCCTGTATAAAAAAATCGATAAAAATGTAATAAACTGTTTATAGTTGTAACTATTAGCTCATAGTCTTTGTGAAAAAAAAAGGTTTTATACAGGATGATTCACGAGGCATAATGAGCCTGACTAAATTTTCGATGCAACCAACATTACAGTTGTCGCAAAATAACTTGCGAAGAGTAATGGTGGTTGCATCGAGAATTTGGTCAGGCTCATTATTCCTCGTGAATCACCTTGTATAGTAGGTTGTCATTTGAAAAAATTAAAAATAAATACTCAAAACCAAAAAAATATTTTTTCCAAATTTTATGAAAATCATCCACATTTTTTATAGGATTTTGTCATTTTTTAATTAGTTTTTTCAAAAAAAAAAAATAGTTTAGGCAAAAAACGTTTGTTTCCCTGTTCATCTGGTATGTTTAGAGTTATGGTATACGTCAATTGCCATTTTATCACTTTTTATAATAATGTTTTTTCTGTAGAAAATAGTACTTTGATTTTTTTTATCAGTAGTGTCCAATTGATTCACTGATTTTTCTTTTACAACGAAATCAAATGGTTGTGGCTTATTTAACTTTAAAAAACACAGTTGCCAAAGTGACGACTGAAGTTGCACGAGATTTACAATGATTATTAAAAAAACAATATAAAAAATTTGTTTCTAAAGCACAATTAAAAAAGTGTCTTAAAAAAACTGATCATTTTTAAATATGAAAATTATTTTAGAGAGCCACATCTCGTGCGGTAAAACAAGAATCTGTGTTACAACTGGATTCTACTTACAAATTTAGACCCAAAATACTCCACTATTTCATACAAAAAAAGCATTAAAGAGGCAATTGAATTGAAATGAAATTGAAAGTGCCATTTAACAGTTTAGCCAATTTTGAGTAATTTAATTTTACCAAATATACTAATCAAGAAAATGATGCGTTTCAGTGGATTTTGTTGGTTTTTGATACTAACTTTTTGTCATTTCTGTGCCCGTTCTCTATCAATTTTTTTTATTAAAAATTATATTACTATAAAAATGAACAACAATAAAAGCAACACAAAATATGCACCAGTAAATACAGTTGCATAATTAGCTAAGTATTTTTATTTTTGCTTTTTGTAATCTATATTTTTTATAATTTACCTATTTTTTGTTTGTTGATTTTATAGCACTTTAAACAAAATCTTGATTTTGGTAATTATATTACATTACATTAAACTGAAAGAAATCCACACCATCAAATTTTAAGTAATGTTATTATTATGATAAAATAAAAAACTGTGTTTGAGTACAAATTGTAAATTATTATAAGAATGCTGCAACATCTATAAAAAAAAAAGAAACTGTGGTAAGGGCAGTCACGACATGAAATAAAAATAAAAATGGATTTGAAATAATAAAATCAGAATTACAAATATAATTTATTTATTTGACTAGTAAACCCTGCCAGTATAAGACTCGTCTAAAATAAAATAATATACCTACTAACCATTTTCCATGGTTAATCACTATAATCACAGACTAAAAACAGTAGATGAAAAAATCGTGCACAACTAATTAACTACTTCTCTTAAAGGTTATGTAAATCATCCCTCCTTTGTATGGACATTTATAATACAAAATAGTATACAAAAATAAACTCACAAACTTTCAAATAGACTAGAAAAAAAAATTTGTCTAAACAAATCATCAGTATTTTTCTAAATCATTATCTGACATGGCATGGTTTACTTCACCCCCGATGGTGCTAACCCCATTTTCGGCCGGTTTAACTTTATGTACCGGAGTAATATTTGCTTCCCCTTTTTTGGAAAAGTAGAGATAACCAGCAGCTCCCAATCCCCCAAGACATCCCACCAAAATCACCCATTTAGCAATTTTCACTATCTTCATTATTTTAAAAAGATCTTTCAGCGGTTTCGTAAACGTATTATTTAGCGCCACACCCTAAAACAACAAAATTTAAAATACAAATTGATAAATAAACAATTAATACTTCTTCCACCCAAAATAATGGTAAAACAGTGTTGGGCAAATTTGCAAAAATTGGCAATTTTGGATTCGGTTCTAGGGGCATATTAAACTGAAGTCTTTTCGCTGCTTTGACAGGACCACCAGTTGTCTGAAAATTAACAAATCAAACTAATTTTTGCAAATTTGGAAGTAAATACCGCTTCGAATAAAATCTGAATTCCGTGGTCTTCTTTATTAGGGTTCAATCCGACAACTCCTTTAACGTAGCTTTCATCCGATTCGTAAAAATGTGGTAGTGAGACATAAACAGGCACTCCTGCACACTTAAATAAATCCATTATTCCTTTTTTAAGACATGTGTCGGGTGTAGGGCAATAACACTTTTCATCAGCATTTTTAGACATGTCGCCTAAAGTCGCTGTGTATATTCTTACAGGAATACCATCGTATTTTGTGTCACCACTGTAGACGGCAACTAAGGAACTTAATTCTTTTAATAATTAAAAAGAAAAACAAAAATGTTTTTGTACCGGCACAAATCTGGCGCAAACGAAGCAAGACCTTCTTCCTTTGTGAGATATGGGGGAAATACCGTTCCGTCAGTCCCTTTATATTGGTTACATTCTTTGGTAGGCCACACTTCCATTTCGTTTTTACTGTCGTATTCAAGAATCCTTCCCACATCGTGAGATTCTTTTACGCCTCTAAACACTTTAAATCTTTTTCCTGGAGTTGCATTTTTCTGCAAATTACTCATTATTATGCAGTAAACTGATTAATCTAAATAAATTACAGGTCCTATAAATGAAAAAGCCAAATCATCATCATTGACATGTCTCAAGTCTGGTGCTTCTTTTAATTGGGAACAAACGGCCTTCCCTGCAAAATCTTTGACTCCGCATTTAATTATAACACCATCGAACAGGATGTCTATAGCCGGAGCCGTCATAAAAATAGAGTCAGGATTGTTGTAAATGGAATTTATGGCTTTACTAATTAAGGAAATCGCGCCTGGTTTAGTCCGTACTACTGTGTTTACCATCCCCTAAAATTTATTTCATTTTTTTTATTTTTCAAAAATTGTTACCATACAAGAATCAAAGGATGTGCCATCGTGATCATCTGGCTTCCATCAAGACATCCTGGCCAGTTAGCTTTATAAAAAGTGTCCTTGGGATTATAAAACATAACATCCTCGTCGTCGTTATCGTCAAGATCAACCTTTTCCTTCCATTCCCTAAGGAAAATTAATTAAGGGTTATAAAACAGGAATGAGTTTTTTACTCGAAACAAAACGGTCCGACTTCTTTTAAGACAGGCAAAGCACCCTTTTGGACATCCATCGGATTCGTTACGTTAAACATATAAATTTTAAAATCTAAAGCGAATGGAACTTTGACGAACATTTGTCTGATTTCACTCCCCTGGTTCAAATTTATCATCTGCAAAAAACAAGTAATATTTTTTAAATATGCTTATTGACTACGTAATTATTAAAACTTGACGCATCATTTTCTTTGTTATTAAGAACTTTGTTCAAATAATAACAATGTGCTCAAGGCTGTTCAAAGTTGTGGTTTTGTAATAATTTTCTTACAAATCAATTCAGGGCTCAAACATGAATCGTTAGTTGTGTAATTTTAGAATTAGGATTCCTCATTTTAGAAAAAATATTATTGAACAAAGCTTCTTTATTAATTTGTAATAAACAACGAATTTAAAAAATCCTTTTTCTAAAATAATAGGTAATGTTATTTTATGACGTAGAAATGCATAATACATCAAAACTGAATAAAAGAAATCAATTTTTATAAAATATTTAATAAAATAAGTTAATTTAAGTTTAAAATTCAATTAAATATTTTATTTAGATCAAATATAAATATTGATCTATAATCTAATTTTACAACCAAAATGCCAATATACTTCTTCAGTTTTTAAATCCATTTTTTGTTAGCAAAAAATTTTGTTTAATAAAAATAATTACAAAATCTAAAAGGATCTTCGTTAAACAAATGTAAACATGAATTCCTCACTTTCATTTTTAAAAATTTAGTTAAATTAGAGCTTATAAAATGTTTTTTTTTGCCTGACTCTAATATGAGTTAAAATTGCAAAGGAAGTTTAAAAGTACACTAAAAGGTAAATAAAAATTGACCTGCCTGTTTATTTTATGAGATATTTTAAAAAGTTACCCTGTATAAGAATATAAGTGAAGAGTTGCATAGAAAAGTAAGTAAAGTAACTGAAAATAATTATTTTGTGTATTTTTTTGATCGATTTTGTAATTAAAAACAGTATTAATTTGATATCTTGGTAATTTTTTTATAATTTCTTTAATATTTTTCTACGCTTAAAAAAATTCGATACAAAAATCAAAAACTGAAAACAATTAATTTTTAGTTTTATGATCTGTTTTCCAGCAATTTATTGGAGAAGAGAAATGAGCGATCCTTCGGAATAATTTCTTTCATCTTTTTAGATGGGAAAATAAGGGTGTAAATGTAGATAATTTTGTGCTGTAATTTTACAAACTTACACTTTTTACTTTGCCCTTAATCATTTTAGGAAAAGCAATAAATCCAAAAACAATAATAACAACAAGCCCAATCGCACATCCAATGGCGATTTTAACCGGCAACCTCATTTCTTTTTTTGTTTTCTTCTTCGTATAACAATGATAAATACACTTTAACGAATCAAAAGAGAACTTAAGCAAACGTAACTTAGGGAAAAGTAAAAATAAGAAGTCCTTCCGACGAATCGGTTTCATTCACTAAAGCACGCTCTCCATCTGTTTTTGATATATACAGACAGATAGTAAAGATGACACTACACCAATGTAAGACTGTTGGGGTATTACGGGGATAATGATTGGTCGTGAGAGGGGATGACAGCAACCATTTACAAAGCACCAAGTAAATATGAATTGTTCATTATTAACACGTTTAAAAGTCCTTATTAATTTTACAAATACTTGCTCAAAAGTTCGTTTAGTTTTGTAAGGGTTCGTTAATATTAAAACACTTCACTCTTCAAGGGAGATATTTTTTTTCTCACGATTATTTATTCACCTCGTGTTGAAATTTATTTTTACGTGAAATTTCTCTCAGAATTAATCTTTGCTCTGCACTTTATTGATTTATAAGCGTTAATATTTTACAATTCGGTTGAAAAGAATTAATGATTGGTTGATTCCCTTTAGTTTTGTCGAACAAAGAGATGACGTATTCTGTTTTCCATTACCTTAATCACTGGCTTGGTATTGACTGGAGTAAGTATTAATTTAGCACATGCAAAAGCGGAGCTATGATTATTCGAGGCAGGAATAATCATGTTGTAATGACAATTTTGCAAAAATAACCTTGAAACAATCAATTTTTACATTCAATTCCACTAAATTTATAATTAAAGCTTTCAGCTATGAAAACAAAGTAAATTAGTGGGTCAGTTTACTATCAGTTTAATCTTCTCGTTCATGTTGAAGCATGACATAATTGTGTTTTCAGAGCACACACCTCCATGTCACGTGCGTAAAAATTTCCTTAAATGCGTGCAAAATTCGATTTTACAAGTGGAGTTCCTCAAAATAAAAATAGCGTTGTGAGTTAGTTAACAGTGCACACATCGTATTAAAATCTAATTTAATAATTCTGAAAGCTAAAAATAGTTTTTTTCGACGCGCCTCTACAGACGCGAATGATGCGGGAAAAGAGAATGTTTTCGTTTACTTTCAACGTTTTGAAGTTTACTCGTACATAAAATTTTGTGTTTCGATTTAATTATTATGTAAGTAATCGTCTTGTTTTGTCGCCATTGAATTATAATAAAATTACTACAGGTCCCGCAAATCTGGGACGATTCCAATCATTCCAAAGTGTTGTGATTGTGACAGCTACACTTCCACGCAAAAAACAATCTTTTTAGGGATTTGTCGCGGGATTGTGTCTTTGATTTCACTGGCTTTGTGTGTGGCATTTCTAGCAAATTTTGACAGTTTTATCATTTCTGAACACTTAATAGATCAACAAAGAGCCAATAGTAAGTATATCACTTTGAATTTACGTCTCATACTCATCTTGATTGTGCTTGAGGCAGAGTAATAACAAATATTGATCAAATGAGTCTTATAAGTTATAACTCAATATCGGTATTACTACGTGAACTAGTTTGAATCAATCAAGCCACAAATGCAAATATAATTAATTTCAATGTGTTTCTAAAGCGCTAGTCATCAAACTACTCCACTAAAAACGAAACCTAGACGTGTAAATCGATTATGTTTTATTTTGATTTAATTCTGATAAGGGTTGTGAAACCAAAAAGAAAATGTTTGTAGCTCTTGGCTAAATGTTTGATTTTTTTTACTTTTGCAGCAGTACACAGTATATTAGTTGTGATAAGTTTAGTCAACATCATCCATTTGTTCGTATCGATTTTTATCATCTTGATTGCCCGATCAGTAAGTTTCAATAATTGTTTATTTTTTGTAAGTTAATGGTATTTTGTAGAATATTGGACACTCACGTAGTATCAAATTCTGGATAATTGTTGATTTGGCCTTAGCCACAATTTTTATGTTGTGTGTTTTAATATTATTATTTACGATGCCTTCACGCAAACTTTTCTTAATTCTAGGAGCCAAACTGGTAATTATTTCCTGTACGATATCTTTAGAAAAATGTGAGTAAAATATTTACAACTTTAATTTCAGTGTTTCTATCATACAGATCCAGTGTTGCCTATGTTGTGTATAAGTCGGATGAAGTTGGGAATTTTTAAAAAATAAAGAATGTACCTAATGATTTATGTACATAAATTACCATAAGTATGTATATGCAGGGTGAGTCATTAATAAATAAATTTATATCAAAGTAGTTGTTGATATGTAAAAAAAAATGTTACCATATCAATTCTCACTTTTAATTATAGACTTAAAAAAATAATTCTAGCTTAGAAATATAATATGTATATTGTTTTATTAGGATTAAAAGTGTCAGTTTTCTGACGAGCAAATTGCGAGACACAAAACTCACTTTCAATCCAAATAAAACATGCTACATATTTTTTTAAAATTTTGTGCATGTTATTGTTGGCTGGAGAAAAAATAGCATGTTTTATTATTCGGCTTAAAAGTGAGTTTTTTGTCTCGCAATCTTGCAGCCGCTAAAAGTGACAATTTTAATCCTAATAAAACAATATATAAGTATTTGTAAAGATGTTTTTGTATTTTTTATCCGTTCCTAACAACATTTTAAGGCTTTAAAAAGTCAATCTAAATAAATTTGAGGATTTAAAGATATGTAATATATAGAAACGCAAGAAATAATTTTTGAAGAATGAATAAATACAGAATATTTACTTGTTTTGTTTGTGGCTAATTAGCCCATTGAAAAAACACCTGACCATCAAATACGGAGGTGTTGGTCGTATTCTATTAAACGACCACTTCCGTAAAGTTCAAAAAGTCTTCGTGATGAATTACTCGTTAAAAATCATTTTATTTTATTTTATTTTATTTTATTTTATTTTATTTTATTTTATTTTATTTTATTTTATTTTATTTTATTTTATTTTATTTTATTTTATTTTAT